GTTGGCCACATTTTTGGCTAATTGATCACATAGCACTTCATCAAGATTGGATTGAAACTCACGTGGCTGCTAAACACTTCATAATATTTCCTCATTTAAACAAAAGTGGAAACGCAACAGGAGTTATTATTTTGCTGCCAAAGCAACTGTAAAGGCAGAATGCATTCACGTGCAGCTCTATCGAGGCTTACCCTGCTAAATTTACCCAAATATTTAAATTTGAACGGTTTTACTGTCCGTGTTTCCACCTGGAACACCAGTGTGCGTTTAAACCTCATGGCTTGAATCTCTATAGTAGTTAGCCCTACTATAAACATATAAACATATCTATCTCTGTCTATCTATCCGTCCGTCCGTCCGTCCGTCCGTCCGTCCGTCCGTCCGTCCGTCCGTCCGTCCGTCCGTCCGTCCGTCCATCCATCCATCCATCCATCCATCCATCCATCCATCCATCCATCCATCCATCCATCCATCCATCCATCCATCCATCCATCCATCCATCTATCTATCTATCTATCTATCTATCTATCTATCTATCTATCTATCTATCTATCTATCTACAGTTCAAGTGAGAATTGTTAGCCCCCCTTTAATTTATATATATATATATATAAGTTTTTTTTTTTTTTTTTTTTTTTTTTTACAAAATGACGTTTAACAGAGGAAGGAAATTTTATCAGTATGTCTGATAATATTTTTTTTTTCATCTGGAAAAAGTCTTATTTGTTTTATTTCAGCAACAATAAAAGCAGTTTTTAATTTTTCAGAAACTGGGGAAAAAAAAAACAGGGAGGCTAATAATTCAGGGGGGCTAATTGTCTGTCTGTCTGTCTGTCTGTCTGTCTGCCTGCCTCTATATTGATGTTACCTTTGTAAAATGTATTCATTAAACGCTATTAAAAATAACTACATTCCATTATTTGCATACACTAAGTTTTTGTGTGTTAAATGGTACAAATAATAATAATAAGTAAACCGAACTAAACATAGTAAAACTACTTCCTTTCATATCTAAATTTATAGATTACGAGTTTTAATCATTGTGGTTCTTTCTCATTTCATCTGTTTGTATAGTAGTTGTATAGTAGTAGTAGCTGTAGTTTACTCTGATAAATATTTACTACTTTTGTATAAGGTAAAAGTAACGGATTTATATTTCAAAACTATATACAGCAATAGTATTTGAGTTATATGTCTGAGTTGCAACTACAATGTTTTAAAGATTATACAGTATACAATACAACAAGATGCATCAAAATCTAAATGTTTATGATATTTTAATAATTTGTTCATTTATTCATGTATTTATATATTTCTTTATTCATCACTAAATATAGAAACACTATTTGAAATTGAACTGTTCCTTTTGGTATAAGGGGTGTATTTTGCTTGTTTACTTTTTATGTACTTTTTTCTTTAACCCGCTATGTATTATGTGTTTGTTTGTTTTATACACTTTATGCATTAACATTTAAAAGTTTTTTGCTACATTATTCACTAATCCATTTATTGACTTTTGCATGTATGCATGTTTGAACGGGACTCCCATGTGCCTCTATCCTGCAGGAAAACCCTAAATTACCTAAAGCAAATATTAAAGGTGCAGTAGGTGATTGTCTTCAGAAGCAATTTTTGTTGTGCTGGTTGAAAGCCTCTTCACAGTCTAATAGTAATGATTAAAGTAAATGATCTAAATGCATTTATATGTATTTTTATATTTTGGGCAAGGCATAAAGCAAAAAAAATTTCATCCAAATTAAATAGAGTCAGACTGACATCTCTTATAATTCCGATACGTAGCCCAATCTGTCTGTCAGCAAATGCAGATTTGAACAACTGTGCAGCCGTTTGTACGCAGCTCCGCCGACCGCCACGAGTTCACGTGAGAGAGAGCACGTGCGCGTGATCGATAAAAGCCTGCCAAATCAAAACTTTTTTAAAACCTGAATCAATATTGGAGTTACCTTTGCACACTGGCGAAAAGATGAACGCAGGAATGACGAAGGAATGACACAACAGCTGAAGGATAGACAGGTTAGACAGGTAATGTTCTGTTTTAGCTTCACACAAAGCTGATGTAACATTAGATGTTGTTGTTACAAATGGGTTATATCTTCACAGAAGTGTTTTTCAGCCACTAAAATCTTCCGATGAAAGATTGATGAGACTATTTTCAGTCTCATAAGGGACCTTTTACAGCATCGATAATGTAGATTTTAATAAGTTTAACAACAAAACACAAGTAAATGCCACTATTCTGCCTAGTCTCTCCCTATATTGTTTAGCATTCAACTTTAAATATTTGATCTGAAATAGCATGTCAATTTGGCTTGCACGCTGTCGGACAAGCACTAGTCGCTTTTAACACGTGAGAGAGGGTTCTTTTGCTGTGCTCGTGTTTAAGGAGGCGTGGCTCTAGACGGCAGGGGAGGGACTGTAATTCTTGCTGCGTCCCAAATGGCACACTATACACTATGCACTAATGCACTATGTACTTATGCACTTACACACTCAACAGGATAGTATATGTATGCAGTGTTGTCCCAAATGGCACACTAATGTTTTTTTACTAAGCGGAAATTCAAATCGTTTCTCTGATGACGTTTGACGGTTACCAAATCAGTGAAATAAACAACCGAATTATCAAATAATACCTGCCGTAAGTATTCCCGCATTTACCATTGGGAGGCGCTATAATCACTCTCGTAGGAGAATTTTGCTTTCACCATCCAAAATAAATAAAGTTATTTAACATGTGCGTCCGATAGCTCCGCCCCTTCCGCTACGTAAGCAAACCTGCGGTCGTTGAGTGCGTGAGGTGTCCATCATTACACACTTCATTTTAGCGGCTAAATGAGTGCATCATCCGGGTAATTAAAGTGCACTTATTATTTTTGGAATTTTCAGTGTGAACACACTACTTACACTATTTATACTACAAAATGGTGTAGAATAGTGCATAAGTATGCGATTTGGGACGCAGCTTTAGAGTTTTATGCTAAGCTGTTAGCATCGTGGAATAACACCTACTGCACCATTAAATAATCTAAAATGTCTTCCTACTCTCGATTGGCAGACACTATTTGTTTTTGTTTTAATTTTATTAGTACATAATATCACAATTAGGGAAATATTCACTACTAATATGTCAAAATGGAGATTCATATCTGGTAGAAACAATACTCACGGTACACAATATACTCAGCCTTCATTTCACCTTCTCATAGCAACTTGTTTAGATAGAGAACCCAATGTTTTCAGGAGAGAAACAAATTGCTAACATTATTTCAAGTGTGCTTCAACATAACTACACTGTAAAGAGTAAAATCTAAACAAATTATTCATCTTGTTACAAAAAATCCTAATTCTTTTAGGTGTAAGTTATGAAGTAATGTTTAAAGGTGCTGTATGTACATTTTTGACTGCTTTAAAGCATATAAATGCCATAATATGTTTGCAGATATTTACAAAACATCCTAAGTAAACATTCTTGTTTATCTGAAAAAACAATGCTGAAGTCCGATATTCTGCTTTTAAAATGTGCCTTGCGTCTTTGTTTTAGTTCTTTTAACCCACTCAATGCCAGTTTAGCTGTCGAGAACAGCATATTTCATTCATTCAGTCAGTTACTGTGCGTTCACACTGAAGGTGGTGAGAACGTCAAACATAACTCTGGCCGCACTGGCAACAACGCTGTCTGCCTTCAGCTCTGGTGGCGAGAGCATCAAAATTCACTTAATTGATCTCGTATTTAAAGGAGCCGTTGAAGCATATCATATCATATCAGTTACATTCCCACATAAAACACGCTTTCTAGTTTAATAATGTTATGCACATTTTATTAAATTCATTTAACAAGGGAAGATCAAGTTGCATGTGGTGTGGCTTTGCTCTACTTAATTATCCAATGTGTCCATAAAATATTCTGTAGCATCAGTACTGTTTTGTCATGTTGCATGATATTCCCGCTTTTTTAAAGAAAAAAAATAGATATATAACATTAATGCACATCAGTAACTCGCCAGTAATTTTTTAAATGTATGTTAGAAAACATTGCAAGTAATTGGAAATCCGGCATCCGCAATAATTAAACACTTGGGAACCATTGTTGTTGGAACCAAAGTTCACAGGGCTGTGTTCTCTGGACTCCTCTTAAGCGGTGGACTTCTACATTCTGATTGCTTGCCACCAAACCACGTCATAGCTCATTACCATAAAGTTGACTTGATTTCAACTCTCCTCGACACCCACAATGGCGAAGATGCGCTGTTCCACACTGCTTATTGCCCCTGGTTCCCGTTAAAAATAATTGACTTCTGGCTACTTTGCGCTCTCACGGCTTTTAGTGTGAACGTACAGTTAGGCTCTCAAAGCATGCGTTCATGACCCAAATGTGACCTCCTCTAGCCAATAGTAGCCTCTGAAATGAGACGCAGATTCAGAGTTCCACAGAAGGTTATTAATTAGAAAATAACATAAATATTGCAAACAGAAGCATGAGGTGTGCAGATTACATTGTACACATGATTATAAACTTCAGTTTATAAAAAAGCGCCTTTTTTGTGTGTTTATTATAACAGACAATATATACAACAATTTTTTTTTTCAATTTCAACTGTATTTTATGAAATTTCAAAGGGTTTTCTTTCAAATGAGACCAAACTTTTGTATTTACACCTCTGCATGTGGGTATGGGAAGCTTTTTAAATCGGAAGGCCAAATTCAGGCGGAATTACCCCAAATAGCCTTAACTGGTTAAGCCTCTTTAACATTATTAAATGTAGATCCTGAATCACTGATATGTGTTGGCTTGCACTGAGTCACAGTTCTAAAGTTCAATTTCAAATGGTTTATTTTATTTTCAAGATCTGAGGTGAACTATCTGCTGCTGCTTTCAGTAGTATGGCAATAAATGTCATGTAATATGGCATTCAAACTCACATTATTAGCATTTAGCACATGTAAAGCACATGAGGTGTACCTGAGGTGATCATTGTCATAGTTTTCTGTTGTTTGGCAGCAAGAAATAGAAGCCATTTCTAAACTATACATTTCAGGTGCTGGTAAGGACAAAAAAAATCATTTGAATATGAAAAATATCTATCAAACTTACATACTGCACCTTTAAGCTGATCCAATTTTTGTTCAGTGTATATACAGCCATACTTCCAAGTGAAAAAAAACAACAAAAAGCATTACATGTCAGTTCCGAATGTCCACACATCCATATACAGACGCCCCTAATCATTTAATCACCAGAGGTATTTTCATCCAGCTCTCCCTCTCTGCTGAATGTGGGCACAGGGCCGCTGGGAGTTTCAGTGAGGGTGCAGTAGTCTTGTTTGAAGCACACAGTCACTGGGTTAATGATAACAGGTACTTGGGTAAACTCACAGTCCTCCAGACTCTCCAGACTGACCGCAGAGTCCTTCAGAGACTCCACATCATCACACGCCACACTCACCTACAGCATGAGCTCGTCCACTTTAACAGGCAGATCCTCACAGAAAACCGAGAAATCCTCACACAGGACACTCGTCTCGCTGCACGTTTTGGTCATTTGACACGGGGCCCAAAGCTCCGTTGAGGGGCCGACGTAGGTTGGATGGCACTGCGCTGGAGGATAAACAACCGTTTTCTCTGTTTCATCCTGAAATGTGCAGATGACCTCAGAAATCTTGTCTATAGTTGAGAAGTCTTCTAAAACATGAATGCCTTGTAGAGGACTTTTGGCCAAAACCCAGCACTTTTGAGAAGAAAGAAAATCAAAATAATTAAACTGATATAAAAAGTATACATTTGGGCAACTTTTAAAAATAAAAATAATATGCAGTCAAAGCATTTGTGTGCTTATATGGCTCAAATAGTGATCACATTAATAAAATATCACAAAAATGAATAAAAATATCAGCCCAGGCTCGATGGAAATATGCATCTTAGCTTACATATTTTCAAAATGGAAAATAAGATGCTCCAGGTCCATGTCTTTGCATGTTTCAGATGCCACCACTAGAGGGTGCTGTCTATGTTATTTTTTATTTATTTATTTTTTTGCTGAATCTGAAATAATTTAACTAGGGTACATTTTGGGGTACATTTAAGATACACATCCTTCTTGTGTACGTTCACGAGATGGCAGGCTTTGTTGTACATATGACCAAGCAAATCACTAACCTATAGTAAACTCTTCCCCAAACCCAACTAAAAGTGTTCAAATGTGAAAAAAAGTAAAAAGTGCACTGCAACAACATAGTTTAACCTTGATTTTACATTGCAATTATCGTTTTTTTACATCGCAAGTGTGCTTCATCGAACTTGAACCTGAGCACTCTGCATTACATCATACTAAGTAAGCTACTTAGCAAACTGACCAGAAAGTTGGTCCATGAAGATAGAAGAGTGAGGTAAAACAACATTAAGTTGTTTTAGGGTTTATTATTTTGCATTGTGCAAATTTTATTTGTTGATTCTGTTACTGTAAATATCATAAATATCAAGTAACAAAAGTTGCTGGCATCACTGCCACATTGCATTATTTTTATCTAAAAATGCAGTCAGACATAAGTTTAAGTGCATTTTAAATGTAGGCTGCAGCATATTTCCATATTTCCAATGAGCTTATATGGATAATGTTTTATCATCATTCAATATAAATATATTTATCACTGTTTGCAAAAATGAAACAACATGGAGTTAAATGCTAGTGGTGGGCAAAGCAAGGCCTCATAAAAGACTGACACAGTCGAAGCAAATGTGTCGAAGCTTTGAAACCCGTCTCTACATCCATCAGTGACATAGTGATCACTTTTATGTATTGCTTTAAAACAGCTTCAGCAAGGAAACAGTTAAGCAAATTGAGGTAATAAGCCTATTTAGTAAAGCTTTAAAAGTTCCAGACTAGCATTCAGAGATCATGGGTTTGAATCCAGTCAGATGGAGCTATAGATGTTTTTAGATGCTCTGTACATGTAACGTGTTTTGTTTTAACATTGGTCTGATATGCGAATGAAAACTTTATGAATAAATATGTCCTGTTTTGGATCATAAAAAATTTAACATAAAATACATTAAGCCATAATTTCAGAGTATTTGTTGGGTTGGGTTGGCTGTTTGAGATTTTTTTATTTGAGATTTGAGTTTTTTGCATCCCTGTCAGTCAAATCCAGATTCGCCAGGTATTGAAACCAATACTTTGAATTGCTTTAATCTTGTTACCAGGGGCCTCATGTACGAAGACTTGCATGGAAATCATACTAAAACATTGCTCACGCATATTCTTTTTGTACATCCCAATGAACGTGAAACTGAGCGCAACATGCACGAGCACAAAACCCCTCCCTGCCTCCTCCCCCTTATGAATATGCTAATGACTCTACTTTGGCAAAACCCAACGAAAAAGCAATGGCAAAAGCAAGCAAAAAGAGAAACTTTGAACAGAATGTGAATTGGAAGTGCTCCTTTTGGAGGTAGACCGGAGAAAAGCGGTGTTATTTGCAAGTTTGTTCTCCGGAATTAACAACAAAAGAAAAAAATAGAGTGGGAAAGTTTAGCTGATGCGGTTAACACAGCTGGGTCTGAACATCGCACTGAGTGAATTATAAAAGAAATATTGTGATTTATAGGTGTGAAATGTTGCAGCACCATCAACAGTCTCAGTGGCGCAGCTCATGAGACGCATGTCAACATGTTTTGACACATTCGAGCATGAACTCGGTTCGAATCCAGCGTCAGATGAACGCTCTTCTTTTTCCCCCCTACATATCAGATTTTGCCAACTATTTATCACAAGAAAGACAAGTAGGAATCATCAATAAGTTTGTGCATCATATTTTATTTGCACATTTATTGAATGGAAATGTTTAAGATTCACGCATGCAAATTCATCTTCAGATAGTGTCTTTATAGCAATGTGTGTGCGGTAGATTGCTCAGATTACATTGCGACTGCTGCAATTTGCGCTTTAATGTTTAGCTGGTCAACTGTATGATATGGAAACCTTATATACCTGCTAGATGAACCCGTCTCATACAGCTGCCATTGCAAGGCTCAGACACTTTGTAGAGAGGAACTTAACACAACTGCCTCTAGGAGTCGCCAACGGAAATAAAACAGACACGCACAAAAAATGTGCGTACGCCAGCCATAAAGCTGCCGTGGAGCTGCGCACATTCTCACGTTCAGTTCATCGTTAGTAAATCCAAACGTGAGCGATTCTGAGCGTGAAACCTGGCGTATGCAAAGTTTTTGTGCGTACACAACGTTGATACATGAGGCCCCAGGTGTTTCGCATCACCTAAGGCTACGGTCACACTGCAGGCAAATGTGGCACGAATCTGATTTTTCCCCCCCCATGTGACACAGGTGATGACAGTGTGAACAGCCCAAACCGCACAGAATCGGATCTTTTCAGGTCAGATATGTGCCACTTTCATATGTGGTCTTAAATCAGACACAGATCTGATGTTTTGCAATCCGACCGCAGTGTGAACGGTTATGTCGGATTTCATGTGACTTTTACGTAATCTTTGAGTGACATGCGTCATCATTCTGTGCTGCAAACATCCTCTACCTCTCAGCAGCACAGTAGAATGGCACACAGGGTGATTATTGTACCACAGAAAGTTGGTTGTTCATGTTGAAAAAGAATTTGAAGGCTTAACTGGTGCTTGTTACCTAATCTGGTTAACGATTGAGGCACGGGTTGATCGCAAAGCCGAAAAGGGTTGTGGGTGTTGCGGATGGGGGATCTGTGTGCAAATGAGGAGGAACTTTCTCTCCGAGAGAAAAAAAGGGCAGGTGCTCGAGCACCCAAACCTCCCTTCTGCACGTGTCTGTTGTTTATCCGCTTGTTAAGTGTGACGTCACGCGAAGCAGCTTCCGGGTCCAATCGCTCTATTCAACTGAATGGGGAGACTAGCGAAATGGTTATAATAAACGTTTACAAAGCGATTTGATACTTTCGAAAATCATGATCACAGTATATATGTCCATGCCTAATATCCAATGGCCAGAAAGTGATATTTTTTTTTATAAATTGTTAAAATTTTGGTATTTGTGATGCAGCAAGCCCAGAGATTGTTGTGTACACTATGACTTTATATAAAATTAACTTTAATGTGGGATATGAATAAAAAGCGATCAGAAACGAATGATTTCTCAACTCAAATGAGTGGCACTTGGACCCGGAAACAGTATTACATACGTCACCAACATGCACCACTTAACAAGCGGATAACGAAGTAAAATTAAATAACTACACAAACAGAGATAAACCAACTCCGCCTTCACAGCCCAGTCTGCGGCTGCTTATTAACCCTTGATGAGTTCACTACACCGCCGGTGGTCACAAATCACAAATGATCAGTGTTTTTTTATCACTGGAGACTTATTTTAGATCTCAAATGCCGAAATACACAATAGTAGTAGCAGAACAATCATTTACAGTTCATGAAATACACCATGGTTGTCTTTAAAAAGGGTAATAATCATATAAGCATGATCCGACAACGTGCTTACTCACTCAGCACTGACGTGTGTGGATAATAAGACATTTTGTGCTCTCCGTAATGCACTTTTGCGCATGCGGGGTCAGTTTGGGACCATGATCTGTTAACACTGCAAATCTAATATTGGGCACATTTACAAGAGCATTGTAAACAACCATGCAAAAAAATCAGATCTGAGAAAAAATCTAATTTGAGCAACTATCCTTACAGTGTGAACGCAGCCTTAGTCACGTGACCTGGGTGTTTTGGATTAGTTTTTCGAATCACTTGTGCTTCGCGTTCTCGACACTGTGTCGACACGTCAGTTTTAAGTCAGCCATCCCTATTAAATGCATTGTTTATATAATTCTCAAAAGTAAAGTGTTGATTGTGCATTGACGGTAAACACCTGCTGTTAACAAGCAGAATTCCAACTTTAGTCACAGCCTTAGATGGAATAAACTGAAATGAACAGTTATTAATAAGTGAAGTTGTTGATGCTGTTTCTGGAGTTGTTATTTATCCCCTGCTGAGATTTTGAGAGGTTGAATGTTATATTTCAGTGCATTTCTTCTAAGGCTGTGACTTATGTCATAAAAACCAGTGGTATGATGGAAATATGTCGGGGAGCCCAAAAAGTGACAAACCAGGCTGGTTTTGTTTAAAGTCAGCAGTGTTGTGGGAGATCTGAGAGGTGAGGTTTTTGATTATTTGAACGTCCTGGCGGTATACAGTTCCTTGATGTTTGCATAATTTTTGACCTAATAATTTGCTAATTTGCACAATTTCTGTTTACCGAAATGTTATTTTAATGCTGTGTTTGCAAGAATAACTGTAAGTTAGAGAAAAGCAAAATTAATGAAAACCTCCCTTATAGATCTCCGACAACACTGCTGACTCTAAACAGGGTGCAGTGGGATTTGTCAATTTTTAGGGTCCCCCCGCACATTTCCATTGTGGTTTGCGCTATTTGCAGCTCACTTCTACTGTGTATTTGCATGTGTTGTAAAAATTTATGTGCATGTGTGTGTTTTTGATGTAGATACTTTCTGAAATTTGACTGTTTTTCCATATGTATACAGTATGTTTTTTTAACTTACAGCACATTTGAGCTCTCTCTGCCACCATACATTCTAATGTACAGAATGTAACATTTTATTGATTGACTGATTCACTCATTCACTTATTTATTTATTTATTTATTTATTTATTTATTTATTGATTTTCTTTTTGGCTTTGTCCCTTTATTAATCTGAGGTCGCTACAGTAGAATGAACTGCCAACTTATTCAACTTATTTATGCAGCGGATGCCCTTCCACTTGCAACCCATCTCTGGAAAACATCCATACACACTCATACACTACGGACAATTTAGCCTGTGGGGGAAACTGGAGCCCCCGGAGAAAACCCACGCGAACGCAGGGAGAACATGCAAACTCCACACAAAAACGCCAACTGACCCAGCTGCTTTTTTTTCTCACAAACCATCATTTCATGAACCACAAAGTATTAAAACCATCAAATAAGAAGCACTTGATGTTTATGAATTGTAAATTGAAATCTTACCTGAAAATTGCCTTGGTACTTTTGATAAAGGGGCTGGAAGTAGGATTCTGGTGTTGGCACCAATGCGATTTCTTTTATCTTAAGTCTGAAATGCACAAATATAATATTTTTTTTGCCATTTATTTAACAAATACACTCCATCTCTAAACATACTTTCAAGAGTTCACACTTAGCTTATGATTGATAATTATGAAAGCCAGTTTGATACTAGTCCCGCAAGAGAGAACTGAGCTTGGAAGATAATCGATCTCAAGGCTCCCTCCTGTTTCATTAGGTGAGCTCTGGTAGGTCTTGAGAGCTCCACTGTATTTAGTTAAGAAAGAGGGGAAGGAGTAGGGGTGTTTGGGGATTTGTCAAGACGAGGATGGCTAAAGGTAAGGGATTCTGGCTTTTTAATACGTATTCCATTCATCTGATTGGTGTATAAAGTTATTGTTAATGCGGGACCCACAATGGTCAATCATAAGCATGTGATCCTCTCGAAATTATTTATATATAAACTTCACATAATAATGGGCTTAATGAGAAAATAAAATTACCTTGCAGCAGGAATTAGTATAAGCACAATTAAAAGTCCAAGCAATAAAAACATTCCAATGATTATCTTGCCAACTTGATGAGGCTCATCTTGAAAAAATAAGAGAAAAGAAACAGAACAAAGAGGATTGGATTAACTGTAAAGTCAACTTTAAAATAACAAAATGGTCATTTAAATATTGTCACTAAGCAACATCACATAAGAACAAATTATCCGGTCACTTCATTTATTTTATTCATACATTCTTACAATCTTTAATGAAAAGACTTCTTCCTTCTCTGTTCTCTTCTGTGAGGTAATATTCACTGGCATGGGAGTGCAGCAAACCATGCATCACTTACATGAGAAGATATTTTTACACACATTTGGCAAACAGCAATGGAATGAAGGACAGCCAATACTGCCAAGGCCATTCACTTCATTGAGGACAGACAAAAGCCAGAGACAACATTAAAGAGCTGCCCTGCTGGGTTGCTCTCCACAGCCCGAGACTGGGTGATGTCAGTTGACCTGGAGAGGCAACTGAAGATTCCACCACACTTCACCCAGTCCACATTGAGACCTGACATATTTTTGGTCTCTGAGGCCACAAGACAACTAATCCTGCAAGAGCTAACAGTGCCCTGGGAGGAGAGGATGGAGGAGGCTCAGGAGAGAAAGAAGGAAAAATATTAGGAGCTGGTGGAGCAGTGTCGAACAAATCAGTGGAGGACCAGATGTATGCCAGTGGAAATGGGCAGTGAGGGATTTGCCAGCTGCACCCTGAACAAGGCCTATGGTACACTGGGAACAACAGGCACCAAACGAAGAAGAGCCATAAGCAACAACGTGGAGGCAGCGAAGAAAGCATCCAGATGGCTTTGGTTGAAGAGAGGGGGGGGGGGGGGGGTGAGGGCGGTAGCATGCCACATGGACACAAGCCGAGGTCTGATCAGCCTCGGTTGGGCCGCTTGAGGAGGGTGTCTGTTGCAAGACCCGAAACACCCCATGAGTCCAGGAAACAACACAGATGATGTGTCCAAGGTTGTGCATCAGAAGATGTTTCTGTAACTGTTTGTCCATTTTCAACAGCCAGCTATAAAACCACCACAAAAGCTACTGATGCACACAAGCACATGCATGCATATACAGAATTCTAAGGGTGCTTTCACATCTGTAGTTCGCTTCATTTGGTCCGCACCAAGGGTAATAAATGATACATTGTTGCATCTTCTGCCGTCTTTGGGTCGTTTTCACACCACACTGATTGCTTTGGTCCGAACCAGTTGAAACAAACCAAAATGCAGTCATCTGACAAAATCCACATCTCTCATTGGCCAGATGTTGTTGAACATATTTCCTAAACTGCTTATTGATTGGTCAGAATTCATGTGCGGGAAAATGCCAGTGAACTCCCGCAGGTAAACAAAACCTTTTACTCTGGAGGGACGACTGCGCTGGCTGATTGTATCCCTGCTTTAGACAAACTATACATTACGAAAATGAAGCGCGGCCGCGGCTGGAAAACAGTGTTTAATGCATCGCTCTTCACTTCAGGAGGAGACGTGAATTAATTTAGCTAAACTGCGACATGGTCATCTTGCGTAAATATTACCAACGATCCATCAGGTAATGTTTTCCCCTCTCTCTCTCTCTGTTGGTAAAGCGCTGTCAACAAATATTTTTCCTCCATATCCCATAATGCTCAGCGCATCGACCTACGGCAGCTGAATTAGTCCAAAACGCGCAGTACTTTTTACGGTTAGACCTGTTTTAGTACGGATCATATTCTCACCACAAACGAACCGCTCCAGGGTTCGTTTGAAAGCGTACCGAGACCACCTCTTCAAGCAAGTCTCGGTACGCTTATTTGGTCCGCTTTTGGTGCACACTCGAGTACGATTGCTGCATTCTCACCTGCCCAAACGAACCGCACCAAAAGGGGAAACGAACTCTAGTGCAATTCAATCGAACTAAATAAGGCAGGTGTGAAAGCACCCTAAGACAAGAGAAGGGTTAAGACTGTCCTTTATCCCAATATTTTGACATTCACTTAAAATGGGCCTGAAATGGGAAAAAAATGTATAACAGTGCTTGATTTTGTCTATTGGGAACTGATTGGATTGTTGGATGGACATTGCCAAAAAAAAAAGAAACAAAAGAAAAGATTGACGAATGGACAAAAGCACGCCAGCAACAAGACATTGTTTTCCCTGGTTATGTTGTTTGATTAAATATTATGAGGGCATATTCAGTTTTTGTTGTACATTGATGTGTGCTGACAACAAAGTAAAGTTCCAAAGGCAAGGAGGCAAGGCTCAAAACAGGAGCAGACTGTAGTGATTCATCAGACATTTCTGGATCCATTTGCACACTTTAATAACAGTAGTGAATCACAAGTGGAAACTCAAACATCGGATTCAATGGAAACTTTTCAGTAGAATAGTCGAAGAGCAGGCGTGGGTCGAGGTTAGTAGAAGAGAGTAATCTTGAACGAGAGACAAGCATCGATCTGGGGGTGGCGGCTGGCAGTCGGTATCGATATAACTAAGCAGTGGTCAGGGCAGGCAGATAGCTTCGTAAACGGAAAGACAGTCCAGGTCAATACACAGATAGGCAATAATCAATAGGGTAATCCTCAGAGATGATGGCCGGGGCTAATCAAAACTTTGCACTTCGCACAAGCCATGGGTCTGGGTAGGGAACAATCATACATGAGAGAACAGTCCAGGAATCAAAACACAGACAAGATCAAAACAATGAAGGGCTCGGAATTGCATACAACACTAAAACAAGATTTCGCAATGTGATAGAGTGACTGGAGGGTTTATATGACGTGTGTGTAATCAGGCCTGATCATCTGTAGCTATGTGTGTGTGTGTCAAAAGATTGCTATATTGTTGTGTGTCCTACATGTTAACAGCTGTCAAGGATGTTGAATGACGCAATGGATCTTTTGATTGTTGTACAGATAAATGATAAAGGAAGTGCTCTCCAGCAGCCAGTGAGGCCAACCCCGCGGGCGATCACAACAGATACATCGTTTATAGCAAGCACTACTATATATAAAAAATAAAGAGTTCACAAAATTTCCAGCAATCTTTTCCTTCCTTTTTGTTTTTCTGCACAACAGTATACCTTATATACCTTATATATCATCAACTGAGTCATAATTTCTTGTCTTTTACATCTTTCCTACAAGATATATGTCTCACTGTCTTATATTACTGACACTGAGTGCACAATTCTGATGGGTGTTTTCCTACAGTAAAAAAAGATTATATTTAATTACTGTCCTATACTCATTCTGTTTATGATAACTTGTTCTTTCCTAATTGTACTATTCTATTGAGAATGATAATTTATTGTCATGTTTTGGCCTGTGCTAATTGGTTGAACTGAGAAAAAAAAAGAAAAAAATATATATAGTCTAATGACTATAGTGGGGGAAAAGAGTATTCAACACGCATGTATTTTACTGGAGAAAACATGTTCTGAAGGAGCTGTGAAACATGGAATTGAACGAGATTTTGTCATAATCTGTCTTGTGATTTATATGTAGATGCTTGATTAGGTTTGTGGTATTACAACAGTACCTCGCTGTTTTGTTACACATGTCACAAACCGCATTGTTTGAGTTTTTGTATGTGAAGTAGCTCCACACATACTTCGCTTGTGGTCACCGATATCCAATGACAGCGTGACTGAACAACATGTGCCACGCCAGTGGACTGAGTGGCTAGCTAGCATGCTCTGCAGTTGTACAGTGCCATATTACGCACATGACTTTGCAGGTGGAAGAACAAATAGTTCCAACTAAGTTTACATTTTTCAGATAAAGTAGGGTAATTGTGGTTACTTTCCGCTGTATTTCTATTTCCAATAAACTATTTGCTCCAAATTACTGAAATATCAATATTTTGATAAGACAATTGATTCTAAAACAAACAAAGCTGGTATCGGATATATTGCATTGTTATTATCGATCAGCACATCACTATTTCCTGCTGTTACCAGTTTGCCTGTTAGCTCGCCATGTACATTGGCGAACTTGAGAAGTAGAGAGGAGTTGACGACGACGACGGGGTTCGAGTCTGGCAAAGAACGATTCCAAAAAGGGGGTAAGACAAACAGAAGCCAAAAAATAAAATAAGCAAGTAAATAACAGGGTGAGAATGTGGTAAAATCTGAAAATGTTGTAAAAATCAGACAAGGGCTTAGGGAAGTGGGTGGGAGGGTCAATCGTTGCTTTTGAAAAGCACTATTGGTTAGGTTTAATGAAGGAGGAGGGTGCGTCAGTTGATCGGTCAGATCGCATCAATCGACAGCGGCCTCTAATGGATTTACATGAGAACAGCAGGTGTGAATTGTACTCAGGAGAGACATTTAAGATCTTTAAGACCTCTGGTGGATTCACGAAAACAAACACTGCAAAAAATGTAGCTCCTGGTACATATTTGGTGCTCTCCAGAGATTTTTAAAACGGTACATTTACAGAATGAGCCTGGGTTTGTATAATGCAGCCATTGAACCAGATTTACTAGTATTTAGCTCCATTTGCACCAAATCAAGTTCACAAATAAACTCATATCAGTAGCACAGTACTAACCTCTGTATGCTGTGCTCCATTTCACTGGGCTGCTCCAGTCACTCCATGTTCCACTGTATTTAGGATGTGTCTCTATCCCAGTCCTCACAACAGCTGAGTATGAAGTCCCTGGATCAAGCTTTTTATTTTCGATCTCAATCTCCTCCTTATATACATGATGTTTTGCACTGACCTACAAAAAAAAAGTGTATATTCATTGTAAAACAATGGTGTAATGTTTACTCCTTTGATGTGGGTAAACCAGAGGATGTTCTCTATGAATGGAGGATATTCACTGTAATCTGCCTTACGTTGTGGTGTTCTCCGTCTTTGTAGTACAGGAACTGATATCTGAGGGGTAGGACACGCCAGTAACGATAAGCTTCATATCCACTTTTCCAAAAAAACTTATATGTTCCATTTTCCAATAGCGTCAGATTAAAGGGGGCTGGTGGTTTAACTGAAAAAAAAACAAAAAACAAAAAAAAACAAGACACAAATACAAATAACATTGGAACAAAAAATTATTTTGTTGAATACATCTCTTACATAAAAGGATCTACTCACTGTTCATTGCTGGAGCAAAATCAGGAACCAACACAGAAGAGATATTGTTTTCCTTTTCAATATAATGCAGTGTCACAATGTATTTATCAATATGCTTGAATCTGAAATTTGCTTGTAAAGTGCAGATGAGATCTTCACGTGTTGCCTGGAGTGGGCATCTATAAGTGCTGTGTGTGTAAATCCATTATTTTAGAACATTCTGGTTACACACACTTATATACACAATTGACATTTGTATATCTAATTAACCTTTGCAATCAAATGAATGTTCATCACTATACAAACAATGATAAGTCAAGACGGGTAATAACAATCAGGGTGCTGGAAATCCTGGAAAATGCTTGATTTTTCAAATAGTGTATTCAAGGTTAGAAAAGTGCTTAGATTTTGGACAGTGCTTAAACCTTCTTGAATTTGTAATTGCGCCTATTTTGGTTGCATTTGTGCCAGAAATTTTATGCGAGTTCAAAATATATTTGGGAGCATTTGTGCAAGCATAAAATTGTGGCTGTGCGACCAGTTTTCATTGCAAAATGTTCACCGCATGAGTAGATTTAGGACACATTCACGCAAAATGCATATTTGCACCTAAAAACACCAAACGCAGCGCTCAGAAATAGTTTAAAACAGTTGAAATGTCAACTTGCTGCTGTAAGCAAAGCCTGCAGTGCCTATACCCCACCTTAAAGCTCTTCTGATTGACCCACTGCTCTTGAACTGAACGCGAATTAATTGGTTAATATCAGCTGTCAATTACTCAGTTCAGATGACAGGGAGCCGCTAAAATGTAAAGGTCTTGATATGAGAGAATGAAAATAACACTGACACATTTTGTTTTAGAAACCACCTAAAGTTACAAATAATGGCACATCAGATCAGTGATCATGTGGTGAATGTTAATCCACCCTTTACATTTTTCAAAGAGTGGATAAAAGACATCCGGTGGGTTAAAGTCCGCTATGAAAATGACTAAAGCCATTCACTGTAAAGTCTGTGAATAAATGCCAATAAATGCTCCAAAGTATTCGACAATTTAAGTTGAAATATTTTATGGTGTTTTTTTTTACGGAATTTACAGTGGTTCTTAGGTGCTTGAAAAGCATAAAAATGCACCTTGAAAGTGCTTGAAAAGTGCTGGAATTTAAAGATGGAAAAGGTGTACGAACCCTGAACAATATTAATGCTTTAAAAGTCCGCTCTTTTTTGTAACTTTATGATTGGTTGTCAATGTGTTTTAAGTTCACCCCTTAGAAAAAAAAAACGTGTTACTCTATGCTAATTCGTAATGAGTTTTAAGGATGCTATATTGTCCTTTATTGTCCTCTACTCCAGAGAAGCTTTATTCATAGAAGCTGATCTAATGTTCAGGATAAAGCTACACTGTTAACAATTTCCTATAAAAATATATAATAACTGGCAGCAGTTTACAATCAATTACAGCAAAAATACTGTATTTGCATATACAGCACTATTTATCTTGGTCTATATGTTTTTACGGAATTGTATATACTTTACTGTACAATATACAGTAATTTTCACAATGTAACTTAAAAATACAGTAACATACTGTATAACAGTCCTACGGTAAAATACAGTTCATATTACAGTTAAATACTGTCTAATTTACAAAAATGGTTAACAGTTGTAAGCAAATGTGTGTGAACTGAGCAAATGGGTGCTGTCCAGATCTGAAGTCTTTTGCATGTAATAGGTTTTGCTTCTATTTTGTAAATATACCTGTTCTTTGGCCAATAAATAATACAATAAATATGTCTAAAAAAATATACACTCAATTTTTTTTGTTGCTTATTCAAACTACTTTTAAAATTAGCTGAATCTTGTTGAATTTTGTTAATTCTTGAGATTTTTTTTGGCACAACTTAATTGTTTCATGTTTAATCCACTTAAATTTGTTGTTTTGTTAACTCAATCAACTTGTGTTAAGACAGCATGAATGAATTGTGTAGAACCCAGCATTTTTTACAGTTTACTTTTGTTTAAAATAGCAGAGCTGATCTAAAACAAAACTACAATATTTTATAAAGTAGGCTAACTTAGACATATTTAATATTGATCATTTTCTTAGCACTCCCACATATTTTTTCTAGCATCCTTACCTCAGATACAGTGTAAATAATGCAGGATTTCACACAATTCAGTCATGTTGTCTTAACACAAATCAATCAAGTTATCTTAACAGATTTAAGTGGACTGAACATGAATGGGTGAATTGAACAACAACGATTGCAACAAATAAATCAACCAAAAATCTCAAGAATTGTGTTGTTTTAGCTCATTTTAAATAAGTATTTTGAACAAACAACTAAAATATTTTATGTTGAGCACAGAGAGAAATAAAATATTGCTTCAGCCAGATTACCCACGCTCACTTTTTTACTTGTTCCATCCACTTATTTAAAATGAGCTGAATAAACAAAATTCTTGAGATTTCATTGGGTTAACTTAATTTTTTTATGTTCAATTCACATAAATTTGTTAAAAGTGTTAAGTTAACTTTTTGATTTGTGTTGGGACAACATGAATGAATTATATGGAACCCTACATTTTTTACAGTGTACACTGTAAAACCCAACAGTCAACGTTAAAAAAAAATGAGATGAGTGTAGTTAACTTAACATTTACTGAAAGTTAGTTCAGTGTTGTCAGGTAATGAGTTAATTAAATACCTCATTATTTTAACTTAAATGGAGTAAGTTCACAGTACTCATATAGATATTTTTTTTTACACAAATTGTTTGCAGCAATCGGTTTCTTCAAACGGTTTGAGTTGCCTTAACTTATTGGGTTTTACAGTACTCAGTGGGCTTGAGTTCTCTTCATTTAATGGGTTTTGCTGATCTCAGATTGCTGTTTTTACTCAAAGTAAAAAAAGTTTACAGTACTCATTAGGATAAGTTTTTAAACTTAAATGGTTTGTTGCAATCCATTTCTTCAAATGACTTGAGTTACCTTAACTCAAGTGTACAATTCCCACACATCAGCTCTGCTTATTTGCCACTATTGGTTATTTGTAATGTTTGTATTGCCTAGGCCGATATGTAAATGAGATGTTATGTCTTTGTACTTTAATTTGCACTCAGTTTGTAAATAATCTGCAGAAATGTTCACCCCAGTCAACACTGTTTTAGAATCATGCTTTTAAACTGTCTGGTATCTGACCCTTTTTATTAGATAGTCTTTATTCATTAGACACTGTAACCTATTATAAAATACTATACTTTTTAGAAGATACTACTACTTATTCATTTGATACTAGCTCAATTAAATTTTAGTTGTTATTATTTAATTTTTTTTTTTTTGTGTGTGTGTGTTCCCAGACTTCAGTTCTCATCTCCTTTTCCTCCTCTGATCATTTCATTGTTGTCAGGTTTTGTTATTAGTTTATTTAGTTCTGTCTTTACAAGCCCTATTTTCTAGTTTTTGTTGTGTCTGGATTTTGTTGTCACGCGAGTTTGACTGTTTGATATTTCTGCCTTTGTTTCTTTGCAATGTTGTTTTTTTAATGCTGTTTATCTTTCTTTGATGTTTGGAAGAGCTTTTGATTTTGCCATTTTTTGTTTATGTTTTGCCCTTTGTCTGCACAGCAGACATTTTTTTTCATTATGAGTTGGATCCTCTGTCTCCTGACCCTCACATGAACCCGCTTGTGAACTACTTATTCATATATACACATATTCACATACTGTTGAAGTCAGAACTATTAGCCCCCCTATTTTTTTTTTCTCCACGTTTTCTGTTTAACGGAGAGCGGATTTTTTCAACACATTTCTAAACATAATAGTTTTAATAACTTATCTCTTATAACTGATTTATTTTATCTTTGCCATGATGACAGTAAATAATATTTGACTAGATATTTTTCAAGACACTTCTATACAGCTTAAAGTGACATTTAAATGCTTAACTAGGTTAATTAGGTTAACTAGGTAGGTTAGGGTAATTAGGAAAGTTATTGTATAACGATGGTTTGTTCTGTAGACTATCAAAAAAAAATTGCCTAAAGGGGCTAATAATTTTTAAAAAATTAAATACTGCTTTTATTCCTAACGAAATGAATCAAATAAGACTTTCTTCAAAAAGAAAAAAATATTAACAGACATGCTGTGAAAATTTCCTTGCTCTGTGAAACATCATTTGGGGAATATTTAAAAAAGAATACTTCAAAGGGGGCTAATAATTCTAACTTCAACTGAATATTATTAGATACTCATTCTGTTATATATATATATATATATATATATATATATATATATATATATATATATATATATATATATATATATATATATATATATATAAATACATACATACATACATACATACATACATACATATATATATATGTATGTATATTCCGACGCATGGATGGATTTGCTCTTCGGTGTTTGGACTTTCACCAGTGACATTTAAACCACACTGAACTGAACTCTGAAAACTGGACTGACACTGTTTCAATTTACTATAATCTTCTATGTTAAGCTCCTTTGACACAACCTACATGGTAAAAGCGTTATAGAAATAAAGATGAATTGATTTGAATTGATACATATCCAACAGTTTTATCTTCTCAGTGTTAGCCCAGGGCATGCGTCTACTAGAGTTATTTTTGTTCTATGTGTGCACAAAATTATTATTAGTATGTGAAACTTTAGATGGTGTTGAGTGGGTTTGTAATGATGTGTGTCATTATTCTATCTATGCACTATAATGTGGAACTGAAACATTAAAGACGTATTCTAATAAGTTATTTTCCTGGATCATGCTTACCTTTTGTCTTTTTGAAACCCCAGTGAGTATGATGTGTTTATAAAGGACATGACTGGTACTTTTAAAGAGCAGTTGATGGTTTTCCAATAATCTGTCACACAGATGGACGTATCTGTCGGAGCTGGAACAAGAAACAGGAAAACGGTTAAGTAATTATTTTGAATGGACATGTAAAAAATAGCTTTGCAGATTAAAAAAGAAAAAGTACCATGTGAACAAGGTTTAAATTCCATTGAAAAAGCCCAAAAGAGGCAGATTATTCCAATGCGGTTCATCCTTCTTGTATAGGACCTCACTTACATAATTTACATCATTCGGCACATGCACCTGAGAGAAAAAAAAAAAAAAAAAAAAAAAAAAAAAAAAAAAATATATATATATATATATATATA